TGACCACTACGGTGCAGGTTTCCTGTTTTGTTGGGAACGCTTCTACCCATCCCAAGAAGGTCTCTATGAATACTAGGAGATACTTGTAACCATATTTACCAGGTTTGATTTCAGTGAAATCTATTTCCCAACATAGCCCCGGTCGGTTTCCCCTAGGTCTTTTGCCAGGCTCCATGGCACCTTTGCACACATTTATCTTTTGACAAGGTATGCAGCTTTTGACTATTTGTTCAGCCATCTGTTTTAGTCCTAAGACATGGTACTCGGTTTTTTTAACAGTTCAAATCAGCTTGTCTGCCCCCAGGTGGGTCCGCTGATGCATTTGTTTGATCATGGCATGAGCCTGTTTTCGTGGCAAGATCAGCTTGCCTGTTGCTGCATGCCAATGCCCTGTTTCTGGATTAGAATGGTTACTAGAGTCTTTTGAGATCTCTGCTATGTCCTCAGCTGAATACTGGAAATTGGGCTTTTCTGGCTTGGGGACGTTTATCAGCAAAATAGACGAGGACCCGTGGGCTGCTGCCCTTTCCTCTGAATCGGCCAAGTTGTTTCCCTTGGCGATGGGGGAATCCCCTTTCTGGTGGCCCGGGCAGTGTATAATACTTACTTTTAGCGGCCTGTGAAGGGCTTCTAGCAGGGCTACAATCTCTGCCTTGTTTTTGATTTTTTTTCTTCAGAGGTCAGCAGACCCCGTTGTTGATATATAGCACCATGCATGTGGGCAGTGGCAAAGGCATACCTGCTGTCTGTATAGATGTTGATTCTTTTGCCCTCTCCTAGTTCAAGGGCTTTTGTGAGGGTGATGAGCTCTGCTTTCTGGGCTGACGTCCTGGTAGGTAGAGCTTGTGCCCACATCAGTTTTTGGCTGCCTACTACTGCCGCTCCGGCCTTTCGTTCCCCATTTTCCAGAAAGCTGCTACCATCTGTGAANAGAGGGAGTATTTCTGACCCTAAACAAGGCTAGAGGGAGGAGCACCACCCAGTTTGCGCCAGTCTCTATGGTTAATTTAGCCAGTGTCTCTTTTAGAGTTCTGTTCATCCTTTCTACCTGTCCTGAACTCTGGGGCCTATATGCACAATGTAATTTCCAAGTGGTCCCCAGGAATCTGGCCACTCCCTGACTTACCTGGGTGATGAAGGCAGGCCCTTTTTCAGACCCAATTACCCTGGGCACTCCGAAGCGTGGAAAAATTTCTTCCAGGATTTTCTTGACCACTACGGTGCAGGTTTCCTGTTTTGTTGGGAACGCTTCTACCCATCCCAAGAAGGTATCTATGAATACTAGGAGATACTTGTAACCATATTTACCAGGTTTGATTTCAGTGAAATCTATTTCCCAACATAGCCCCGATCGGTTTCCCCTAGGTCTTTTGCCAGGCTCCGTGGCACCTTTGCACACATTTATCTTTTGACAAGGTATGCAGCTTTTGACTATTTGTTCAGCCATCTGTCTTAGTCCTAGGACATGGTACTCGTTTTTTTTTAACAGTTTGAATCAGCTTGTCTGCCCCCAGGTGGGTCCGCTGATGCATTCGTTTGATCATGGCATGAGCTTGTTTTCGCGGCAAGATCAGCTTGCCTGTTGCTGCATGCCAATGCCCTGTTTCTGGATTAGAATGGTTACTAGAGTCTTTTGAGATCTCTGCTACGTCCTCAGCTGAATACTGGAAATTGGGCTTTTCTGGCTTGGGGACGTTTATCAGCAAAATAGACGAGGACCCGTGGGCTGCTGCCCTTGCTTCTGAATCGGCCAAGTTGTTTCCCTTGGCGATGGGGGAATCCCCTTTCTGGTGGCCCGGGCAATGTATAATACTCACTTTTAGCGGCCTGTGAAGGGCTTCTAGCAGGGCTACGATCTCTGCCTTGTTTTTGATTTTTTTTCTTCAGAGGTCAGCAGACCCCGTTGTTGATATATAGCATCATGCACGTGGGCAGTGGCAAAGGCATACCTGCTGTCTGTATAGATGTTGATTCTTTTGCCCTCTCCTAGTTCAAGGGCTTTTGTGAGGGCGATGAGCTCTGCTTTCTGGGCTGACGTCCCGGTAGGTAGACCTTGTGCCCACATCAGTTTTTGGCTGCCTACTACTGCCGCTCCGGCCTTTCGTTCCCCATTTTCCAGAAAGCTGCTACCATCTGTGAACCAAGTAGCCTCGGCGTCTGTCAGAGGCTGATCTGACAAGTCTTTTCTCCATCCATGTGTTTCAGCAAGCACTTGTTGGCAATCATGGATGGGAGGGTCAAAGTCCGGGTCTGGCAGCAGCAAAGCTGGATTTAAGCTTGCTGGTGGAGCAAAAGTTACCCGATCTGGATTTAGTAACAGAGTCTGATAATGAGTCATGCGTGCATTGGTGAGCCAACGGTTGGGAGGCTGGCGGACAACACTCTCTAAGGCATGAGGTGCTGAAATTACTAAATTTTGTCCCATAGTCAGTTTATCAGCATCTTTTACTAGGATTGCAACTGCTGCCAAGATTCTCAGGCAAGCTGGCCACCCTGAGGCTACTGGGTCTAACTTCTTGCACAGATATGCCACGGGCCTGTTCCAGGATCCCAGTTTTTGAGTTAGTATCTCCTTTGCAATCCCCCTGTTTTCTGCCACATACAGGTGGAAGGGTTTAGTCACGTCAGTGAGTCCCAGAGCCAGTGCAGACATTAAGGCCGTTTTAATATTATCGAAAATCTGTTGTTCCTCTTTTCCCCATTTGAAGGGCTGACTGTTCTTAGTGAGGGGATATAATGGGGCTGCCATCTCAGCAAAACAAGGTATCCACAGGCGGCAAAACCCAGCAGTACCTAAAAATTCTCTGACTTGCCTCGGGTTAGAGGGTGGCGGAATGTGAAACACTGTCTCTTTTCTGGCCTCAGATAACCATCTTTTCCCGTCTTTGAGAAGGTACCCCAGGTAACTGACCTGTCGCTTGCAGATCTGGGCCTTTTTGGCAGAGGCTCGATAGCCCAGCTTTCCTAACTCCATGAGGAGATGCTTTGTTCCTTTCAAACACAGTTCCTCGTTGGCCGCTGCCAGGAGGAGATCATCTACATACTGCAGCAGAGTTACCTGAGGGTTAGAGGCCCGGAACATTGCCAAGTCCTGGTGGAGGGCCTCATCAAAGATGGTGGGAGAATTTTTAAATCCTTGGGGCAGACGGGTCCAGGTAAGTTGTCCCGTCAGACCGGCCTCTGTGTCTCTCCACTCGAAGGTGGAGTAGTCTTGACTCTTGGGAGTCAACGGCAAGCAGAAGAATGCATCTTTGAGATCTAGTACCGTGTACCAGGTCCTGTCTGGAGGTAAAGATCTTAAAAGATTATAAGGATTAGGAACGGTGGCATGGAGATCAACCACGTGTTTGTTTACCTCTTGGAGATCTTGGACTGGCCAGTAGTCACCAGTTCTGAGCTTTTTGACTGGCAGCAAGGGAGTATTCCAGGCAGATTGGCACTTCTGTAAAACTCCCAACTGGAGCAAGCGCATGATGTGAGGTTTGATGCCCTCACGTGCCTTTCGAGGCATTTGGTACTGTCGGATTGCTATGGGACTGGCTTGAGCCTTCAGTTCTATGTGGACAGGTGGCCTATTTTTAGCCTTTCCTATTCCTGCTGTTTCGGCCCATGCCTGAGGATAATGGCTTAGCCGCCAGTCCATGTGTCCGGTTTCTTGTTTCCGCTGTTTAAACAACTGGTACTCATCCTCTAGCCTCAGAGTCAGTATTTGAAAAGGCTTTCCTTGCTGATTTAACACCTGAGGTCCCTCGGGGCCGAAGTGTATTTGGGCACCCATCTTGGTAAGGAGGTCTCTTCCTAGCAGTGGGTATGGGCACTCTGGAATGACAATGAAAGAGTGGGATACCCGGCCCACACCAAGATCCCCCGTTCTTTGGGTAGTCCATGAGTATTGTTTATTTCCAGTGGCCCCTTGTACCCATGACTTTTTGGGGAGAAGGGGCCCTCCAGCTTGTAAAAGTATTGAGTGTTCAGCTCCTGTGTCTACGATGAATTGGGTAGGTTTCCCTCCACCACTAATGTTACCCTGGGTTCGGGGAGGGGATCCAAACTCCGTCCCCCCTAGTCACTATCTCTTGCAGGGCCAAGACCTTGGGGGCCTGAGGCTTTTTGTTCTTTTTCTTGGGACATTCTCGAGTCCAATGTCCTTTTTCTTTATAGTACGCACATTGGTTCTTTGCTAGGGGTTCCTTTTTGCCGCCAGGAACTGTCTTACTAGGCTCCCTAGTCTTTCTGACTACTGTGGCCAGAATTTTGTGAAGGTTTCTTTCCTGTCGCTTTTCTCTTTTTATTTCTCTAGCCTCCTGTTCTTTCTGGTTTTTTTTTTTCTTCTTTTTCTTCTTCTGACTCCCTATTATGATATACTTTTTCAGCAACCTGTACTAACTCCCGTAAGGACTTGTCTTGTAATTCCTCAAGTCTCTGTAGTTTTTTTCTGATATCTTTACTAGACTGGTCAATGAAAGCAACTATCACAGTAGTTTTATGTTCTTCGCTACTGGGATCATAGGGAGTAAACTGACGGAATGCCTCCATGAGTCTCTCTAGAAATGCTGATGGAGACTCATTGGGCCCCTGGGTCACTTCCCTTACCTTAGCCAAATTGGTGGGGCGTTTTGCTGCCCCTCTGGGACCTGCCATTAGAGCCTGGCGATAAACCTTCAGGTGCTCCCTACCTTCTGCTGAGTTGAAATCCCAGTTAGGCTAAGTCAGTGGAAACCCCACATCTATGACATCAGGGAGGAGGGTGGGTCTCCTGTCAGGTCCTGGAATGGTTTTTTGGCTTTCCAGGAGGATCCGTTGTCTTTCCTCAGTGGTGAACAAGACCTGGAGGAGTTGCTGACAGTCATCCCAAGTGGGCTGATGGGTAAAGAGGAGGGATTCTACAGGATTAGTGAGTCCTTGGGGTTTTTCAGAGAAAGAGGGATTCTGGGATTTCCAGTTGTAAAGATCAGAAGAAGAGAAGAGCCAATACTGCAGGGGCTGGTTGCTGTCCTCATCTGGGAAGCTGTAAGCCCTAAGAGGGAAAGTAGGGATAGCATCTGGAGAGCCTGCATGCCGACTGCGGGTCCCCAGTGCTGGTCCAGAGTTCTGCACCCCTACTGGTGGGGCTGATGGCTGTGCGACCTTTGGATGAAGAGCTGGGGGATGCAGGGGAGGGGGATCCATGAGAAGAAGATCTGGATCAGTATCTTGTAAAACAGGAGGTTTTTCTTTATCTTCCTTGAGGGCAAACACTGCCGATGGACCTGTTAAGGGGACAAAAGGCCAAACCCACAAGGGTGGATCCGTGATTAGGTTTTCCCACACAATAATGTAAGGACCTGGTCAGGATGACCCTTAGAATTATGACCAAAAATTTTCCTTTTAACTGCTGTAATCAGCGGCAGAGAAAAGGAACCTTCGGCAGGCCACCCGAGTTGGAAAGTTGGCCATTCCGAAGAACAAAGTGTTATCCATTTATTTTTTTTAACCTGCACAGAGAGGTTATGAGCTCTGGTTTTTACTTCAGTCCAGTGTTTTAAAGTCAGACTTAAGGGGGTAGAGATAGACTGCCCCATGTCGCCCCAGAAAATTGTCAGTCCCCACACACAGATAATCAGACAAACAAAAACCAAACCACTGATGCGCCCCTGCCATGGGCACAACGAGACTATCAGAGAACTTGGGAGGGGTCTCAGTCTTAGAGATCTCCCATGGAGCCGAACTCGTTCGTCTCCTTCAAAAGAATCTGGAGTGTCCTCCACGATTCTTGTGGCTGCAGTGTGCTGGCATGTCTGCCCCACCACTGGACCACCACAGATGAAGCCCCAGAAAACCAGACCGATGGCTGTGTCCTAGAGGCCTTGAAAAACTGAAACCAAATCACAGACAACAAAGACGCAAAGTAAAATACAGCAGACAAACAGACAACTGCGGTACTTGCTGCTCGAGTGTTCCTCTGCTCCCCAGTCTTTGGTCCCAGGGAGAGCGAGCGTGATCCCAGATGAACCCCCAAAAATGTAAGACTGCTCCAAAGAGCTAATCCTACATGTAATGGGAAGGCTCGCCTCAAAGAGACCACAAGACCAGGAGCAATGCAATCACCAAGAGATTTATTAATTCCAACGCATTGGGGTCCCACCGCAATGCTGGGGTGAGACCCCGCCAGACTTTTGAGCTGCCTTTTTATACATTTTCTGGGGCAGTTTTTCTGGCGGCAAGGAGACAAAGCAGTGAGCAGCGTTTATTGGCTAACTTAAGCGACCTTTAAACTCATTGGCTGGCACCCATCTGTTCTTAAGTAATTCCCCCTCAGGCATCTTTACTGATAAACACCTGACCATCTGTTGGTTCTGTTTCCCTTTTTCTCAGAACTGGGAGGGTATGTGACTTTCCAGGAACTGGGTGCTTTACCCGCCCTTCCTGGAACAGGGCGCCCTCTGGGGAAAGAATTTTAAGATGGCTTCACTGTTGCTAAGCTGGAGCAAGCTTGTTTTACAGAAGCATATTGCACAGGTTAGTATTTTTTAATTTCTAAGCATATATGGAAAAGCCTGGAGGCCCAGGAAGGGATCTTTCACAAGGGCAGAGTCACCACATA